CTGTGGAGGTGGAGGTGTTAGTGATGGTGATGGTGCACTGACTGTGGAGGTGGGGGTGGTAGTGATGGTGATGGTGCACTGACTGTGGAGGTGGATGTGGTAGTGATGGTGATGTTGCACTGACTGTGTAGGTGGAGGTGGTAGTGATGGTGATGGTGCACTGACTGTGGATGTGGGGGTGGTAGTTATGGTGATGGTGCACTGACTGTGGAGGTGGAGGTGGTAGTGATGGTGATGGTGCACTGACTGTGGAGGTGGAGGTGGTAGTTATAGGTGATGGTGCACTGACTGTGGAGGTGGGGGTGGTAGTGATGGTGATGGTGCACTGACTGTGGAGGTGGGGGTGGTAGTTATGGTGATGGTGCACTGACTGTGGAGGTGGAGGTGGTAGTTATAGGTGATGGTGCACTGACTGTGGAGGTGGGGGTGGTAATGATGGGTGATGGTGCACTGAATGTGGAGGTGGGGGTGGTAGTGGTGGTGATGGTGCACTGACTGTGGAGGTGGAGGTGGTAATTATCGTTGATGGTGCACTGACTGTGGAGGTGGTGGTGGTAGTGATGGCGTGGACGTTGTTGTTTTGGGGTGATCGTGTGCTCACTGTGGAGGTGGTAGTTATGGGGTGGAGGTGGTAGTTAAGAGGTGGAGGTTGTTGTTTTGTGGTGATCGTGTGCTCACTGTGGAGGTGGTAGTTATGGGGTGGAGGTGGTAGTTAAGGGATGGAGGTTGTTGTTTTGGGGTGATCGTGTGCTTACTTTGGAGGTGGTAGATATGGGGTGATGGTGGTAGTTAGGGGTGGAGGTGGCAGTTGTGGGGTGATTGTCACTCACTGTGGAGTGACGGAGGGCAGGCTGGCAGGCACAGGGAGCAGCCTGGTGTAGGCAGATGCCAGAGCCCTTTGCTCATGGCCACTTCGTGGTGTCAGGCACAGGCAGTCACACCCTAGGGCTCTCTCAATGTCACACACACCCCACAAGCTCACAGACTCACAGTATGGGGCACATACGCATACACACATTCACATAAGCAGATGCACACACACCATCCTCATGCACACCCAGAGCGACAAACCACACTCCTGAACATTCACACATGCTCCTATCTGACCGGCAAACCCCTTTGCATGCAGCCCCCTCCGGCTGAAGGCCCCTCACTCAGGGGCGGCAGGGCTGGTGCTCATGGGTGGAGGGATCAGTGACGCCAGGCACCCCTGTCCTGTCATGAGATTCCTACCAGAGAAGGTGGCCAGGCCGGGGCAGGAGGAGGTCCTGAGGTCGCTGGTGTCCTTGGGGAGACACTCTTCTCTTAGAAGGTCAAACAGAGATTGCTGAGCTGCCTGTACATGGGGCTGGACCTCCCACCGAGCCACCCTGCCCCTCCCCAGCCCTGTCTGTGCCCCCTGGGTCCCACCGCCCGACAGGAGAGGCCTGCGCAGGCCACCGAGCCACGGCAGCACCCCCTGGGCCCCACCGCCCCGCAGGAGAGGCCTGCACAGGCCACTGAGCCACAGCAGCACCCCCTGGGCCCCACCGCCCCGCAGGAGAGGCCTTCGCAGGCCACCGAGCCACGGCAGCACCCCCTGGGAAGGGTGATTCACGCGTCCTCCAGCCTCTGCACCAGGCACTCCGGCCAGTGGTGTGAGACCCCAGCTTCTTCCCAGCTGGTCTTCAGCTCCACTGCCCCTCCCAGCCCTGGGACAGGCAGGGGCCCCAGGACCCCTGCTGCCCCCAACCAAGGGGCTGTTGCACAGGCTCTTGTGCTGAGTCTCATCAAGAGGAAGTGTGGCTGGAAGGGGGGTCACAGAGGGGAGAAGACTGGGAGAAGGGGAGCGGAGGGGAGGGCAGGGCGGGGGGCGGGGCAGAGGGAAGGGGAAGAGGGCAGGGCACCCTGGGGGGGGAGCAGAGGGGAGGGGAGGAGGGCAGGATGCCCTGGGGGGGCAGAGGAGGAGGGCAGGCGCCTTCCCAGGTTGGACCCATCCTCCACACACGTGGACATCTGGTGAAGGGCTTGGCAGAGCTTGGGGAAACTTGGGAGGGACTGAGCAGGGAGAGGGGAGGGGAGGAGGACTGTCTGGAGAGGGGGCCGGCACTCTGGTCTCCCTCCCTCCTGCCCTCCCTCCCCCACCGCCTGCCCGGCCTGCCCGGTCTGGGCTGCTGCAGGCCCACAGCGCCTCCCAGTGGCCTGAGCTCCCTGGCGGCCGAGGAACAATGGGCGGTGGCTCCGCTCCCTCCTTGCCGCCTCCCAGGTCCCAGGCTCCTGCCCATTAGCGCCCTGGGCCTTGGGCCGTCAAGACTGGGCTCCAGGCTTCTGCCCGTTAGGCGCCCCCGGCCTCGGGCGGTCAGGACCAGGCTCTGGACAGACGGACAGACATCTGCACCAGTGAGTGTAGGCCAGCCGCGCCATGGTGGGGGTGGGGGGGGGAGAGAAGGGGAAGGGGGAAGCTGGACACCATGGGGCAGATCTGGGGTGCGGACTCCCCTGGGGAAGATCTGGGGTGCAGGCTTCCCTGGAGCAGAGCTGGGGTGCGGATTCTCCTGGGGAAGATCTGGGGTGCAGGCTCTCCTGGGGCAGATCTGGGGTGCGGCCTTCCCTGGGGCAGATGTGGGGTGCAGATTCTCCTGGTGAAGATCTGGGGTGCGGATTCTCCTGGGGCAGATCTGGAGTGCGGGCTTCCCTGGGGCAGATCTGGGGTGCGGATTCTCCTGGAGCAGATCTGGAGTGCGGGCTCTCCTGGGGCAGATCTGGGGTGCGGATTCTCCTGGGGAAGATCTGGGGTGCGGGCTTCCCTGGGGCAGATCTGGGGTGCGGATTCTCGTGGGGCAGATCCGGGGTACGGATTCTCCTGGGGCAGATCCGGGGTGCGGATTCTCCTGGGGAAGATCTGGGGTGTGGGCTTCTCTGGGACAGATCTGGGGTGCAGATTCTCCTGGGGAAGATCCGGGGTGCAGGCTCTCCTGGAGCAGATCTGGGGTGTGGATTCTCCTGGGGCAGATCTGGGGTGCAGGCTCTCCTGGAGCAGATCTGGGGTGTGGATTCTCCTGGGGAAGATCTGGGGTGCAGGCTCTCCTAGGCAGATCCGGGGTGCAGATTCTCCTGGGGCAGATCTGGGGTGCAGGCTCTCCTGGGGCAGATCTGGGGTGTGGAGTATCCTGGGGCAGATCCGGGGTGCGGTCTCTCCTCTGGGATCAGCTTCTCAGGGGTCAGGGCCCCTCCTAGCCGGCACGTCTCGGCCATGTGCAGTCCTGCAGTTTTCCTTGACCATCTCTCTGGGAGTCATAGACACCTCCCCACCTCAGCCTGTGCACAGAGGTCCTTGGCACCGCTTCGGTGCTTCGGGGTGCTCTTTGAGCAGGGCATCGGGGGAGGGTCCCGGGCCAGGCCAGGTCACAGAGGGCTGCCCTGTGAGAGGCTGAGAGCCCCGGAAGGAGAGGGGACCCACCGCGCCGTCGCCTGCTGCCCCCACCCTGGGACCCCAGGCCCCTGCCTCCACCAGGAGCCGCACAGTCCCTGGTGGGGTGGGGGGGGCTCCTCAGAGGGCCCGGCACCGGTGGGGTGGGAGGGGCTCCTCAGAGGGCCCGGCACCGGTGGGGTGGGAAGGGGGCTCCTCAGAGGGCCCGGCACCCAGGTTTCCCTGCTTTACTTCCATCACACCAGTGCTGGACTGGAGGCCAGCTACTGTGGGGTGGGGGTGGACTAGGCCTCGGGCCATGGGCATGGGCGACACGGGGGGGGCAGTGTCAGTGGGTCCTCGTGGTACATGGACCTTGTGGACAGACGGCATCCTGTGACTCTCAGAGCGCCTGCTGAGGCTCATAGGGGGGGGTGAGCCACGGCAGGCCTGGGGAGCAGGAAGGCTCATGGGGGGGTGAGCCACTGCAGGCCTGGGGAGCAGGAAGGCTGGGGGGTGAGCCACTGCAGGCCTGGGGAGCGGGAAGGCTGGGGGGTGAGCCACGGCAGGCCTGGGGAGCGAGCAGGAAGGCTCATGGGGGGGTGAGCCACGGCAGGCCTGGGGAGCAGGAAGGCTCATTGGGGGGGGTGAGCCACGGCAGGCCTGGGGAGCGGGAAGCCGCCGCCACTTGGCCAGCTGTCTGACGGAGCACACTGTGTGTCCATGTGCCAGGACAGAGCCACCAGAAAATTCAGGCAGTTCTGTTGTGAGGGGCCATGCACATCAGCCTTCGGCCCAGACACTCAGAGCCTAGGACACAACAGGAGCCAGGGTCTCCCCGGGCCGCCAACCACCCTCCGCCCCGGGCTGCCATTTCCTCTCTTAGAAGAAGGGGCAGGACTGAACCTCTCCATGATCCTGAGGATCACACAGGCTCAATGCCTATGCGCATCTGAGCCTGTAAACTAATACTCAAGAAACAACCCCAGAAAATGGGAGTGAGAGGGGTCTTCCTCGACAGGAACACTGTGCCCTGGGTGTTTGCCCAGCCGGGATGTGGCGTCCACACACTGCATTCAGTGCAGTTTAAAGCCTCAGGAACCAGGGCTCCCGTGATTCTTCCAGAAAAACAGATGCTTAGTCTTTCCTACATGTTGCCTACCTTGATGAGTCCTAGACCCTCCAAGGGCCTCGTGATTTTAGGCAGAGACAGGAACACCCACAAATCACCAGGGTCAGAGTTCTATTCCTCCAATAGACCTGCTCCCTGTCCTCAGTGCACACACCAGACCCCAGCCTGCGCACTGTCAGTACACACCAGACCCCAGCCTGAGCCCTGTCAGTACACACACCAGAACCCAGCCTGCGCCCTGTCCTCAGTGCACACACCAGACCCCAGCCTGCGCCCTGTCAGTGCACACACCACACCCCAGCCTGCGTCCTGTCAGTACACACACCAGACCCCGAGCATGTGCCCTGTCAGTGCACACACCAGACCCCAGCCTGCACCCTGTCAGTACACACACCAGACCCCAGCCTGTGCCCTGTCAGTACACACACCAGACACCAGCCTGCGCCAGGTCAGTGCACACACCAGACCCCAGCCTGCGCCACGTCAGTGCACACACCAGACCCCAGCCTGCGCCACGTCAGTGCACACATCAGACCCCAGCCTGCACCCCGTCAGTGCACACACCAGACCCCAGCCTGTGCCCTGTCAGTACACACCCAAGACCCCAGCCTGCGCCCTGTCAGTACACACCCAAGACCCCAGCCTGTGCCCTGTCAGTACACACACCAGACCCCAGCATGCACACTGTCCTCAGTACACACACCAGACCCCAGCCTGC